CACACACACACACACACACACACAGAGAGAGAGAGAGAGAGAGAGAGAGAGAGAGAGAGAGAGAGAGAGAGAGAGAGAGAGAGAGAGAGAGAAGGCGTGAGAAAAGCGGCATGCATCGTCCTGCCTAGAAGTAGTGAGTGACATGTTCTACTTTGTGACGCACTCGTCTAGCATATAGCCCTTCCGGCTAGAAATAGAAACAGGCTTTCCTCGCATGTTCCGTCCTCATAATCTCACACAGGATGTCTTTGTTTCTCTTGAAGGTGATTCCCATTGCAGACGCAGCAATAACACCAATACCACCCATGTGATCAATACAGGGAGGATTGGGGTGTACGAGGCTAGAGGCTTCGTGTTTCGTTTGTTTCTGTTTTCTCTTTTTCCAACTGTCAATGAGGGTGAGTGTGTGAACTGCTGAAGGGCGACCTTTGTGACCACCCTTCAACAGTTTGCTGCTTCTCTTCAAGCAAATGTACGACTGCATGAACGTACATTCATGACATTGTACGAGTGCATGTACGACTGCACGGACGAATCCATCTACGTGCATGCATGTACAACTGCATGTATGTACATGCATGTACGACTGCATGTACGAGTGCATCTACGGCTGCATGTGCGAATCCATGTGCGTGCATGCATGTACGACTGCATGTCCAACGTATCACTGCATGTACGTACATGCTGTGCGACTGCATGTACGTACATGCTGTGCGACTGCATGTACATACGACTGCATGCATGCAGGACTGCATCTACGACTGCATGTACGAATCCATCTGCGTGCATGCATGTACAACTGTATGTACGACCGCATATACGACTGTCCAACGTATCACGACGTGGCATTGGACGTATGCACGTGCAACTGCATGTACGTATGCATGTACGACGATATGTCCCAAGTTAGGCAAAGCCGTTCAGCATGAAACCCGCCTTCGGTCTTTCCTCTGTGATAGAATGGAAGGTCAATATCGAGCTCATATTATATTTAGGGGCCGGTCCGACAAAGATAAGATAACCGCGCCTTCTATTCGACAGATGCAGTAGTTACTAGAACGTGGTCCCACCCACACCGTGGAGGATCATTTTACCTGTATTTAGTCAAATACAGCGATGATAACCCCGCGTAAACAAAAAAAAAGAAAGAAGAAGAAGGAAGAACGATAACCCCGCGTTCTATCCGAGATAACGTTTGAACCCAGAATGTGTTCACACTTATCGACAACGTTTTACAATGGACTACCATACGTCGTTGTTTATTCTTCTTCTTCTTCTTCTTTGATGTGCGAAGATTGAAAGAGCAATTGGGAAGAAAAGAAAAAAAAGAGCAATGAAGCCCATAGTTGAAGAAACTGACAGATATTGCGTGGTTCATGTCTGCTTGTCTCCTTCGGCCTAGTTGGTTGGGTTTTATTATTTTTTTCTTTTTTCTTTTTGGCAAGGACGACAGAAGGGGGCCGGGAAGGGGTTGTAATCTGTCAGTACAATACACCCTCTGCCCACTCGTTTGTGTAAGGCCGAAGCAAGGCGCCCCTGCGATTCATTCATAGCTTGCGAGTTAAAAAAAAAAAAAAAAGGAAAAGAAAAAGGGGCAAACGTCTTCTCAACAATAACAAATTGCCCACATGCACAACAAAAAAAATTAAAAAAATAAAAAAATTGCCCACATGGTATACTGTGATTTTCTTCCAGATATTGGCGTGAATAAAAACAGATATACAGAATTGCCCTTCCCCTACAAACACTCGCAATCCAGAAACGGCCACGCTTGGGACCCGTTAACTGCCACTGGAAATTGGTCATACTCTAAGTACTCCTCTATTGCAACATGCCAACATCGGTGCCACGTCCTCACTGATGCGAGTAGGTAATCAGACCACTCGCTGTTGCTGGTTCATTGCGCGGCCAATGCACAAAGCCTGGAATCTCTCTCTCTCTCTCTCTCTCTCTCTCTCTCTCTCTCTCTCTCTCTCTCTCTCTCTCTCTCTCTCTCTCTCTCTCTCTCT